ACCAAGGGAAGAGTGATAACAAGGACCTTCCTCCACAGCCGAGAGAGAAAGCCTTCTCCTGGAGTTGATGCCCTGAATTTGGACTTGCAGCCTACTAGACTGTGAGAGAATAAATTTCTCTTTGTTGAAGCCATCCACTTGTGGTATTCCTGTTGTAGCAGCATTAGATGACTAAGACAGATATTTACCAAAAACAACAAACCAAACCCACTGCCATTGAGTTGATTCTGATTCATAGTGCCCCACAGAGCTTCCAAGGCTGTAAATCTCTACAGAAGCAGACTGCCACATCTTTCTCCCATGGAGCTGCTTGGTGGTTTTGAACCATTGACCTTTCGGTTAGCAGTCGATCGCTTTAACCACTGTGCCACCAGTGTTACCTGTTTTATTGACTATGCAAAGGCATTCGACTGTGTGGATCATAACAAATAATGGATAACATTGCAAAGAATGGGAATTCCAGAACACTTAATTGTGTGAATGAGGAACCTGTACATAGACCAAGAGTCAGTTGTTCAAACAGAACAAGGGGATACTGCATGGTTTAAAGTCAGGAAAGGTGTGCGTCAAGGTTGTATTGTTTCACCATACTTATTGAATCTGTATGCTGAGCAAATAATCTGAGAAGCTGGACTATATGAAGAACAGAACATCAAGACTGAAGGAAGACTCATTAACAACCTGTGATATGTAGATGCCACCACCTTGCTTGCTGAAAACAAAGAGGACTTGAAGCACTTACTGATGAAGATCAAAGACTATCAAAGCCTTCAGTATGGATTATACCTCATCGTAAAGAAAACTAAAATCCTCACAACTAGACCAATAAGCAACATCATGATAAATGCAGAAAAGATTGAAGTTATCAAGGATTTCATTTTACTTGGATCCACAATCAACGCTCATGGAAGCAGCAGTCAAGAAATCAAATGATGCATTGCATTGGGCAAATCTGCTGCAAAGGACCTCTTTAAAGTGTTAAAAAGCAAAGATGTCATTTTAAGGACTGTTTTCAATTGCCTCATATGCATGTGAAAGCTGGACAATGAATAAGGAAGACTGAAGAAGAACTGATGCCTCTGAATTATGGTGTTGGTGAAGAATATTGAATATACCATGGACTTCCAGAAGAACAAACAAATCTATCTTGGAAGAAGTACAGCCAGAATGTCCCTTAGAAGCAAGGATGGCAAGACTTTGTCTCACATACTTTGGACATGTTATCAGGAGGGACCAGTCCCTACAGAAGGACATTATGCTTGGTAAAGTTGAGGGTGAGAGAAAAAGAGGAAGACCCTCCTCTGTGGATTGACACAGTGGCTGCAACAATGGTCTGAATCATAGCAACCACTGTGAGGATGACACAGAACTGGGCGGCGTTTCGTTCAGTTGTACATAGGGTGCTACGATTCAGAAGCGACTTAATGGCACCTAACAACAACAACATAGCCTCCATCTGTTCTTTTTGCACAAATACTGGCATACTCTTCCCATTATTCTGTATTTTGCTTTCTTCATTTAACAATATCTCTTGGAGATCACTCTACAACCATACATGTAGATCTGCCTCATTTTCTCTACGATGGCACGACAGTCTACTGTAAGAGTGTGCTGTAGTATAGTATTGAATCTGATCAGTCCCATGTAGCTAGATACTTGGGTTGTTTCTTGTTTCTTCCTATTTCAAACAATGCTACAATGAATATTACTATACTAGGTCTTTGATCACAGGTGGGAGCTTAACAGTTAAAGATACACACATATTTTTAGTCACTCTTCACAAATGAGTAGCTATGTTCAGGTCTTGTTCACTCTTCTCTCACCCTGATTCTCAGAGCTTTGGGGAGAGTTGATAGAAAGGCAAGGGTGAAGGAATGTACTGGAGGGGTCTGCAGAATTTTCTTGGCAGCGGAGATAAAGACCAGGAGGAGACTTGAAATTCTCCCCTAGATGACTTAAATGGGTCTGTAGACCAGAGTTTCTCAACCTCCACATTACTTATGTTTTGGCCGGATAGTTCTTTGTTTTGGGGGCTCTTCTGTGTACACTTGGCTTCTACTCACTAGATGCCAGTAGCCTCCCTACCTAGCTGTGACAATGCCAAGTGTGTCCTGGTGTGGGGGGGAAGCCCCTAACCACTGCTCTAGACAATTTGTTGGGAGTAAGTTAACCACGGAACATTAACTAAGTATCCATCACCTGGGTCTTGAGGGTTTATGTGGATGGGGAAGCTATGACAGGAGGATGCTAACTCCCTTTCTCCCATGGAAGACAGCAACAGCCACCTGAAGGATCTTCTTACCCACATTCTTCCTCCCATAATCCTTCCCTCCTCCCCTCCCTCTTTCCGTTCCATTATACAACACAATATGTGAACACTGTCTCATTGTAAACATTTCAAACACATTACCCTCATCCCTCCCAACCTACTGGACTCTCCAGGAGTAATGACTGAATTTATTTGAAATTCAGAACTTTCCCTATACATTTACATACATATTTTAAACATACAAAATGAGAAGTGTTTTTGTTGAAACCCTGGTGGCATAGTGGTTAAGGGCTACAGCTGCTAACCAAAAGGTCAGCAGTTCAAATCCATCAGGTGTTCCTTGGAAACTCTATGGGGTAGTTCTACTCTGTCCTCTGGGGTCACTATGAGTCGGAATCAACTTGACGGCAACGGGTTTGGTTTTTAACATAAATGGGACTTCACTGTATGTTTTGTTGAATGACGTGATTTTTTTAAATTAACAACCTGATTAATATTTGGACATCGGTTCATATCCATATAGTTCTACCTCATTCTTTTTTTAACTATTGCATATCATGGGTATACCACTGTTAAACAGTTTGCCAACTGATGAATATTATTTTAATATTCTATTTTTAAGTATTCTAACAACACTGCAATAAACATCCTGGTACAGGCCTTTCTGTAAACAAATGTACCTATCTATCGAGAAGTAGTATTTTTATTTAGGGAATGCATACAATTTTAATAGATAATGCCCACTTGCCTTACAAAATAGGCTGTATCATTTAATACTCCTTCCAAATGTGATTAAGAGCAGCCATTTCCCTCATCACAGGCCACCTGGGTTAATTTACTAATCTTGTAAATTTTTGCCAATCTGGTCTCAGAACAGTCATCTTTGTAAAATGCAAATCTCTTAGTCCACCCTTTAAAAAACTCTCCAGGGGCTCTCCATCTTCAGAATAAAGTCTAAATTCCTCAGCATGCCTTCCATGATCTTAAGGTTCCTTACCTCAGATATTTTTTAGCCACTTCTTTCCTGTAGGCTGAGCTCCCTTCCGTCCCCCCACAGAACTGTGACGCCTGTTTTCGGATGCGCTTTCCAGTGCAGCACTCCTGTGTTGAATGGTTGACGGTGAACAGCATCTTGATCATCTCTGACTCCCAGCCCTGGTGCTCAATCAATGCTGAATGAGCAAGTTTGATGCGGGAGTGGGGCCTTGGGGGACCAGCGGAGACTTTCTCATCGCTCCTGGGGCCTACCCTGGTCTCCAGTCGTGGCGGCCAGGTCAGCGGTGCAGGGAGGCAGAGCAGGGCTCGGCCTGGTTCGGACCGGGCTTGCAGCCTGAGCCCATTTCTCCTTCCAGCCCCGGCTAGGCCAGCCTCCTCGGCCTCTCTCCCCATCCAGAGATGCTCCAGGTGCTTCATTAAAAACTTTTTAAGCAAAATTTAATGGGAGACCTTCCCGGCTGGTTACATACCTGGAATGAGAATGCGTGTCTATGCCTAATGTGTTGGAACCAACCATATTCCCATAGAAAATGCTCATGGTGACCAACAGAGGGGACAACAAAATACTAAGACACATGGACAGAACCAGGCTGAAGGGCCACTTAGCCCAAGTGTTTCGGGAAATCTTTGGAATGTCCATATAGGAGTTGGACAAGTTATCTTCTAAAGATGCAACGATATGAAGAAAAAAGCAAAAGTCTTCGAAGTCCCATATATACACAGCAATCAGAAAAAGGAATGACAATGGTGGTGACGCACAGCATGTTGCATTAGGCCCAAACGATAGGAGATGTTCCTCTGCAGCAACCAAAAGGGAAAATGATTCCAACCTCATGAGCCGACCATTGGTCTAAACAACAGCAGCATTTGCCAAGAAACAATGAGATGGAAATGTATATTCTCAAACTCAATAGCAGTTTTCACATGTGATCTTTTTACATTTTCTTATATACACAACAGGAGCTACTTTCTTCTTTTGTTTTCTTTTAACTGTGGTCCAAGTCCAACAATAGTGCTGGCTAAAGAATCAGCAAGTGCCCTTAGGCTGCCGCATGGAAATAAAAAAAAGTAATTAAAAGATTAAAAAAAAAAAAAAAGTTAACCGGAAACTTTACTACCTGGTTCCCCTAATACCATCTGTGCGGAAAAGGCGGGAAAGAGGGCTCTGGGGCTGGCCCAAAAACGTTAGAGAAAGCAAGGAAAGGGAACAGACGCCGCAGCCATGAAACTCTTACAAACGCCCCAGAGGGCACGGCGGCTCTGGGGCTCGATCTCCTTGGAGCCGTACAACCCCCGCGTCAATCAGCCCCTTCCGGCGTTACGATTGGCCGGGGACTTCCTTGGCCTCTCTGGAGCCCACCTCCTATTTGCGTGGGGTTTACTTCCCCAAAGTACACGGGCCCCACCTTGTGGAGCAACCGCTCCTGCATGGAAAACGGATCTCCGCCTACGGGAAGACGTTTTAGCGAATGAGAGTAGCTCCATGGATTTATTGGCTATTATGGGTATCGGTCACATAACTTCCCACCGTCTTTTCCGCTATGCCTTTAAATGATTGGTTCCTCTGGATGCCAATCCGTTACTAGGGAAACGAGATCCTTACAGTCTCATACGCCCTAGTCCAAGCCAATCAAGAGCCACGCCTTCACCCTGAGTCAGTATCCAATTGTGGTTCGAAGAGCCCAGAGGGCGCATTCGGGATTGGCCACCCGCTCGCCCGGCCTGCCGGCAACAAGTTCGGCTGAGTCGTGGTTATATAGACCGGCGGCGGAGCACGCGTGTGTGCGGGCGCAGTTGCTTAAGGGTTTTCTGCAGTCCGTCCTGCTGTGGAGCAAAGCTTGTTCCTCTCCCGCTCAGCCGCGCAGGTACGCCGGGGTGTGGGCGGGGCTGGGCCGCGGGAAGACAAGGCCGAGTTGGGGCGGTTGTTAGCGGGAGAAGAAGTCCGAGCGGCGGCCGCGAGAGGTGCCCCCCCACCCCCAACGGCCGCAGGCGCGCGTAGCGGCTTTCTGCCTCCCCCACCCCCACCGTCTGGAGCGCGAGGCCGTGGCCGCCGCGCGCACGTGCCGCGTCCAACGGCCACGCGGGGCGAGAGCGAGCAGCGGCCGCCACCCGGGCCCCAGGGCGATCTCGGAGGGCTGGGAAGCCTCGCGCGGCCGGGGAGGGTCTGCGAGCCGGCTCTCCAGCTTTTCCCGCTGCACCCTACATCTATCCCCACCCCACTCCACGCGCCAGTCGAGTGTTTTCTTCCCGGGCCGAGGGGCTCGAACTTGGCCCAAATCAGGAGGAGGGGTGGGGGCGACCTTCAAGTGCGATCAGAATTTTTCGACTCTACAAGGAGTATAGAGTGAGCAGCCGTGTGCATGGAGAATTAGCAATACGAATTAGCAATAATGATAACTAATGTCGCTAAGCCCTCTCTTTTGGGCCAGGCCCTGTGCTGAGCAACTTGTATGTATTTCATTGAATCCTTCCAACGATCCTATGAGGCAGGTACAGTTGTTTCCCTCGTTTTACAGCGGAGTGACATGGCCAAAGGCACGCAGACGGTAAGGGACAGGTATTTGAACCCAGACTGCCTGGCTCCTAGTCCCCGAGCCTGTTTTATTCTTTGCTCCAGCGGCCTGTGTGGTCCCAGGGCACCTTTGCCCCCAGAGCAGTCGTCATTGGGGGCAGCATCATCCTCGAAAGACCCAACTGCCGAGAAGACTGCTGCGGCATTTGTACTTGAGGCCAGTGGTGGCCTTCCTGGGAGACGAGCAAAGGTTGCAAGTGGAATTATGACAAAGGAAGAGGGTTTGAGCTTCCCTTTCTACCTGTATTCGTACGGATAGCTGATAGATGTGCTGCCCTAACAGTTCTGGAAAAAGTAGGAAAATGAATAAATGCAAGTAAACATGGACTATGTTCCTTATCAGATTTGAAACACATAGTGAGGTGATGGGAAATTTTCGCCAGCAGGAAGTTAGACTCTGATATGTAGACCTTGAATCTTTTTTTCTTTTTCTTTTTTTCAGTCGAAGCAGACTTTTGAGAAAGACCTTTGAGGAGATAGTTTAACTTCCTTGTTTTATAATTGACGAAAATGAGGTTCAGAGTGATTAGTTTCAGATCTCACTAGTATTTGTGGGTTAAAAATTGGAGTGGAAAGGATGGCTCCCAGTTACAGGGTAAATTTGATCTTTTTGGGGCTTATAAATGCTAGATGAATTGCGGGTGATTGGGATGTGTGGGAAATCGTACGCTTGTGGTAGTTGGAATCTTCCGTGGTTGAAAGCCTGACTACGTTCAGTTATTTGGCATTAGTCTGCTCTTGTGTAGATGCAAAAAAGTGGAACATACCTTTCTCGTCTTGGAAGACTTGAGTTTATGTCTTTGTAGTAGAGTTATGTTAGATTTTTAGAAGCCGGTATACTCTTTGGCTTGATGAAATGATGAATGTTCCGATGTTGCAAGTCCAAATCATTACTTCGCATCACAAATGTCTCCAAGACAAAACTGCAATGAAAGTTTTGGATTAGCTCTTCTAAATTAGTTTTGAATTGAATGGCTTTCATCCTGTTCTGCTTTTTTTTTTTTTTTTTAAGAAATGTATCTGTTTTACTGTATTCATCCGTACTCCTTAGGATTGATCTTTAAGGGGTTTTTGCAGCCAGAGGGAACACATGTACATTCTTGTAAATTAAAAACAATGAGAGGGTTTAATACTTGTGTTTTCATTTATTCTGTACTCCCCCCCCCCCCCCCGCCATGTTTCTTAACAGAAAGTAGCAGTAAAGGATCAAAATACTGTATGGACACGTTGTTAACCTTTAGTTGTTGTTGCTATAAATAACAGTTCCCTTTGAATATAACATTGTTTTATTTGGAACTTGCTTTTGTGTAACAATTCTTGTTACCTGCATTTAGAGAGAGGTTAACTATGGAATTAGCATTTTAATTTAAGATTTAAGATGAACAGTTTAGTTATCAAATGTTGAAACACTTTGATGACCGACCTACACTTAAACTAGACTTTGATTCCAGCAAAGTTTAGTGCTACTTGAGGTAAAATATATCAGAATGAAATAACCTTATGCATTAATTGAGGGAAAATTTTGTCAGTAACCCCTTCAGGTATTAATAAAATAGGTTTTGGCCTCAGGCAAATTGCTGTCAGTTGGGCAGAAATAAAATTAAGTGATGTTTCTCTTGCTGGTACCCCAATTAGTCTGTCATGCATGTATTTATCAGGAACAAGTGAAATTAAGCCAATTGTGATAATATAAGACTTGAGTCTCCCTACTTTCCAGTCAGTTCATTAGCACTGTTGTTAAGAGTTGAATCCTTTTCTAACAGGTAGAAGAGTAGGCAGTGCTTTTGTTCTTTTACTCACGCTCAGATTGCTGTTCTTATCAGTCTGTTAAGAGACCATCAGGAGATTTGGTGAAGTCTGTTGGTAACCTTTGTGCCAATTTTTGTAATTTACATTATGGATCTTCTACTTGAACTTATTTTAATACTTTGCACGAAAGTAAAGGCACAGGTTAGTTTTAAGTTTTTATAAGTTTGTGAATTGTATATGATTTGTAGAAGGATAGGTGGGACCAATGCTAAGAAATGAAATTTATTGTACAACCTGAATTTATGACTTAAACCAACTTTTGTGTGTGTGTGTGCGTGTGTGCCAATTTCATAAAAGTGCCCACTGGTGTTTTCTTAACATTTTGCAATTAGATTGGTTTTTAAAAATATTTGGGAATTTAGATAGGCATTGTGTTACATGTTTTATTATATTGTGCTTTAAGGCTACTTTGGACTGGACAAAACTGTTACTGGCTGGTGTTCTGAAACTTTACAAAGGGGGATCATTGTCAAAGTAGGTAGATCTTTTTTCCTTGGCTAGTCAGTTGTCAACAGCTAGTGGGAAACCTTTTGTAGTGGCAATACTGTCCTTCCAGCTCTGAAGTTTAGATTCTGCAACTATAATCTCACTGTAGTCAGTGATCACACTGTGGCAGTTAAACTAGATTTATATTTTAAAATATTATTCAAAAATCTGCTTTCTGTTTCTCTCTCTTTTTTTTTTTGTTTAACTAGACACCCTGCTTGGCCTTGGTTGGAGAAGGCTGAATTGCAAGCTGGATGATAGGGTGAAGAGCTAGGAATAATCTGCACATGAACAATCAAGAGTGGGCTTTATAAAGCAGAAAGCAATTTTAAAAAAATTCTCTACAAGCTGTGGCCTAGTAAATAGGGTCTGCCCCCAGCCTGATGCACAACAGAATCTTAAAGGCTGATGTGATCCACAGAATTTTCATTGTCTGGTTTTTGGAAGTAGATCACCAGACCTTTCTTCTTAGTTTGTCTTAGTCTGGAAGCTCTGCTGAAACTTGTTCAGCATCATAGCAACGTGCAAACCTCTAGTGACAGACGAGTCAGTGAGGAACATTGGCTGGGAACCGAACCTGGGTCTTCTACATGGAAGGTGAGAATTCTACCACTGAACCACAACTGCTCATCTAGATATGGTCTTCAGATGACTGTAAGTGATAGATTTACCCTTGTGTCCGGGGAATCTGTCATACTGTAATATTTCTTAGCTGTTTAGCCTATGTGCTAAATTAAAGGTTAAAGATGGTTCAGTGTAAGAAATCTAGCTTCCTGGATGAGGCACATGTCTACTTTGTAAGGATGTAATCATTGATATGGTGTATTTGTGTAGCTCTTCGCGTATTTTAAAGGTGTTTTCACACATCTTAGCTAGTATCATGTATTTACTGATGAGAGAACTGAAGCTCTAAAAGCTTAAGTGATTTGCTTAAGGGCACATAAGTGGTAGGGACAAGACTAGACCCTAGGTTTCATCTTTGTAATTCTTTTCCAAGGGACTAATCAAATTAAATGGCTTCATCTAAGCTATCTTATAGATCATGTGGTAACTAGTAGAGTACTTCAGATGTGTGCCAGTTATTTCTCTACTTAAAAAAAAAAAATGGAAAGATACAAAATCCCTGGAAGGCCTAAGCATGGCAGCAACCTGCCCTTCCATGTTTCTTCTACGTTTCTGCAATCCTGTAGACCTCGCCTCAAGTACACCCTGTGTTTGTGGACCCTCTGTGTTTCCTAGAGTATAATCTTATGGCATCCAGGAGTAGGAAATTAATGTTTTTAGGAATTTGATATATGAGGCATTTGTATTAACTCTAAAGTACCTCTTCATTTTGATTATAAGTAACACATATGAACACAGCTTACTGCCTTATAACTTTGGGATGGGGAAGGTATACTAACAACACAGAAATGACATCAGGCTAGTGTTATAAACTATGTATACTGTACTATTGAATAGTGAATTAAGTTTTTCAAATCCTGTCTTGAAGCGTTTTTAAGAGTATTTTAAAAATATTTAAGAGTTGCAATACAGAGGTCTTGTATACCTGTCTCCCAGCTTCCCTAATGTTAACATCTTAACATAATAATAGTATATATATCAAAACTAAGAAATTATTGTTAACTAAATGATAAGCCTTATTTGAATTTTCTTAATTTTCCACTAATAACCCTTTTTGTGTTCTACATCCAATCCAGGATACTATATTGCATTTAGTTATCATGTTTCCTTAGTCTCTTCTAATACGTGACAAGGTCTTTCTTATCTTTCATGACCTTGATGTTTTTGAAGAGTACTTATCAGTTATTTGTAGGATGCCTCTCAGTTTGAGTTGTCTCTTTTCCTATGATTAGACTGAGGTTGTGGATTTCTGGGAAGAATACCACAGAAGTGATTGATTCTTCTTATGACATCATACCAGGGGTATATAAATTACTTGTTGAATGTACCCTTGTTAACTTGGTTAACATGTCTGTTAGGTTAGTATTTTTCCCC